TGTGTGTGTGTCCAGCTCAGCCCACCAGGGGGCGAGGCTGGCTGGCATGTGGTGCCGGGGGATTGAACCGCGGTCCCTGTGCTTTGCTAAGCTTGTTCCAAGTAGGTGCTTTAGACCACTGAGCCATCTCACCAGCCCCTAGAAAATTTATTCTTAAAAGATACCAAAACCCAGGTAATCATACAGATTTTGTCTATAAAGACATAGTAAGGCCTTAACTGTCCACCTCATACAGCCCAAGAGGTGGCACAAAAACCAGTGGGGACATGGGAGATACTGTCTGTTCTCCCATTTTGACTTAACATTAATTGGACCTATGATTATATTCCTTCTAGTCCTAACTAAATATATACAAGCTAAGTTATAACGCTGATGAGTCAATGATTTGACTCGGCTACAAAAACCAGTGGAGAATGTTATAATCTGACCAAAGCACCGCAATCCTGTTCTGTATGCGCCGTCTTAGTGAACCATGTCAGCTGCTGTACAATGAGTGCCTAGCTCACAGAATTTCTGTTTCCATGTCAACTGCTTTAAAATGTGAGCCCATCTCACAGAACTTCTGTTTCTGCAAGCCCTCACCCCACCCCTTGAGTTCCAAAAATGTCACTGCTGTTCCTACACCCTTAAATTCCAAGAACTTCTCCAGACCTCTAGCCATATCTAGTCTCAACAGCTGCCATGTCTCCTTCAACTCCCCGAGTTGTCCCCTGCCTGCTTTGTAGTTTTATAAATCCTACACTCCTCCCCCCTTCAGGGCATACTTCAGCACTTTGTGCTGGGTGTTGCCGCTGGGTACCAGCTAAAATAAAGCGCTTTTTAAACTTTTGAGCCTGCCTCATTTTTGAGTTACAACATTATCCATTTATCAGTTGATGGACAGATTGTTTCCATTTCTTGGCTATTTGAATAATGCTTTAATCAATATGTATCTGGTACATGCCTGTAGTCCCAGCACTGATGAAGAGGATGAGGCAGGAGGATCATTGAGAGTTGGAGACCAGCCTGGGCTGCAAAGGGAATTCAAGGCCAGCCTGAACTGCATAGCAAGACCCCATCCCAAAAGGCAAAAAAGAAGAAGAGGAGGAGGAAAAAAAAGAAGAGGTGGAGGAGAAGCAGAAGAGAAAGAAAATATATCCTGAAATTTTGCTAAATTCATTTACTGTAGCAGTTTTGGAGTTTTTGGGATTTTCTACATACAAAATCATGTCATATACAGTGATAATTTGACTTCTTTCCAGTGAAGATGCCCTTTGTATTTCTCTCTGATGCCCAATTGCTCTGTCTAGGACTTTCATCAATGTTGCAGAAAAGTGGATGTCTTGGTCAGCTAACTGGAGAGCCAGGTCTTAGAATATTTCATCTGTTTAAAATTTTCCTAGCGGCTGGGGAGATGGCTCAGTGGAATAAGTGCTTCCCTGGCAAGTGCAAGGGCCTGAGTTCAATCCCTGGTTCTGCAAAACATAAATAAATAAATAAAATTTTCTTAATACATGTTTGCAGGACATGATAATTATATTCATTGTGGAGAGTTCATGCATGTATGTAACACATCTTAGATTTTTGCTTCCCTTCCCCTCCTTTAACTCCCCCTTCAGCCTTCTGTTGGTCTCCTTCACCAGAGACTTACTGCCCTATTTCTTATTATTTATCTTATTTTGTTCTTTAAATTATTTATCCTCTGAATTTATCATACAAGAAAAACCATGTGATATTTGAATTTGTGGATCTGATTTATTTCATGTAGGATGGTCTCAAGATCCATCCATTTTCCTACAAATAACTCAAAGTATCCTTCTTTTTGGCAGAGTAGTATTTCACTGGCTATAAAAAACACATTGTCTTTATCCGTTCATAAATTGATAGACACACAGGCCTCTTCCAGGATTGGGTTACTGTGCGTGGTGCTGCTGTAAACACGCATGTGTGTGTATCACCGTAATATGATGTCGTTACTTCTCTTAGGTACGTACCTAGAAGGGGAACAGCTAGGTTGAACGCAATTTCTAATTTCAGGTTTTTTGGGAACCTCCATAGTGATTTCTATAGTGGTTGCGATAGTTTGTATTCCTACCAAACATAGTAAAGTGTTCTTTATTCCCAGCAACCTTGCCAGCATATGTTATTCTTCAGGGTATTTGTTTGTTTGATGGTTTGTTTGGTGGCTGCCATTCTTTATAATGATGGAATTTCAGTGTTGTTTTTACTTGCATTTTCTAATGGTCAGAAATGTTGAACATTTTCCATGTATTTTTTCATGTACTTGCATTTCTTATTCTGAGAAGGGTCTATTCATTTCAATTGTCGTGTGTGTGTGTGTGTGTGTGTGTATGTGTGTGTGTGTGTGGTGTGTGTGTGTGTGTGTGTGCTTTAAACAATTTATTTCATTGAATTGCCATATAGTGACTTCCATTTCATTGATACATCTTTCCCCCACGGTGATTTACAGGATCTTCAAGCCAATATAAATGTTTCATAAATATTCGGCCACGTGGGTATACACCTACATAATACCTCAGCAATACTTTTCAGCCAGAAAAACATTGAAGAATGAAGACCACACAATTAACTAGGTATAAGGAAAATCTGCTTCAAATATTTGTTTCTGTTTAATAAAGAAAACCATCCTAAGCAGGCATGGTTGCGCATAGTTGAAATCCCAGCACTTGAGACAGGAGGATCGCTGTAAGTTCTAGACCAGCCTGGGGGCTACAAAAGTGAGCACAAGACCAGCCCAAACTGCATAGTGAGTCTAAAATAAATAAATAAATAAAAACCCAGGGCAATTTTTTGTTTTTAAGTAGGGCCTAGAACACCTAACCACTGTTTAGGTGCTGAGTGGCAGAGCTCCATCCCCAGCTTGTGCCATGAATTCATAGGGCACAGGTTCCAGCAACTCAGGCTGCTTCCCACTGATTCTCGCAAAGTGTGCTTCTCTGGGTGGGGCTGGCTGGCGCTTCAGTTGAACCAGGGACCTTTCTCTTTGGCTTCCATCCTTTTCTGATCATATTTCTTGACATGTTTCAGGAAGCTAGTTCAACTCTTTGAGTGTTTAATTTCTGCAATATGCACATTAATACTCTTAGCAAGTATCTTGCCCTTAACTTGCTCGTCTATAACAATGCCAACAGCAT